TTAAATTAGTAGTTCAGATTACCAGATATAAGCATGCAAAATTTCAAAAAAAAAAGTTATAAGAAATTAAGGAAAAGAAAAAGAAAAAACTTAAGCATCACTTTTCAAGCTTCTGCTTGCATCACGTTTGTAATGCCCCATTGGACAAAACACATGACCAGACTGGTCCAAGTTCAAGAGGTGAAGAAACTGACTCCACCTTTTAATAGGAGGAGCCGCAAAGTCACCTTATAAATGGACAGCCATGTTTGGATGGGAAGAATTGATGGCCAGTCTTACAGTCCACCAGAGAAGGCAAAGGCTGAACATTTCTTCTGCTAGCAAAGTAGGCAAAGACACAGCAGCCTTAAAGCTGAGTTGGAGGGCCTCACATTGAATCTAGAAAATTATTAAATCATCAAGTTTCTACCTTCCACAGCTTATCTGTCAAATAGCATGAGATAATAATGTAACTCTTACTTGTTTCCAGTGGGAACAATAAGAACTTTGTGGGTATGTTTGTCTTATACTTCTTGGAACTGAACTAAGGAGCAGTTGTGTTCAGTATGTCTCAACTGGCAGATATGCTTGGAAAAAGAAAAACATCTTAACATGTTGGTCTTAATTTCTAGCACAAGTGTTAAATATACTACAAAGACTTATAACATTGGAAAATTTTACATGTGTGTTGTGCTTAATTACTTGGTGGGACACACTGTATTAATACACTTGCCTGTTCTTTCCTTTTTCTTTTTTTTTGTATTTTAGGGAGGGGTCTAAAGGGTGTTCAGGGTCTCAGTACTAGATCAGACTCGCAGTGATCTGTCTGTTTACAGCTTCCCAAGAGCTGAGATTAGAGGCATGTACCACCACACCCAGCCTCAACCACTGTCTCAGCACGCCCCAGGGGTGGGGCCAGCATGGCAGACCCTTGTGCAGGGCACAACCTGTGCAACCACACAAAGTGGCCAATAGTAGGCATTTGGTATGTGTTTGTTGAATGAATTATCCTTAGAATTTTCCAGAACTACCTCACAATTTAACCCCTCTTGAATGATGGCATCCAGAGCTGAACAAACCAGTCTATATGAGTAATGGTCTTACTATATACAGGGTCTGGTCAGTAATGGGGCAGTTATGAGGTTGTAGAAGCACGCTCATTTGCTCTTCAGTGGTACCCTACCACAGTAAAGCCAGGAGCTGCCCCATCCCTGATCTCCTAGATGTATCCACAAGCCTGACTATTACCATTATCTACATCCATATGTTTGTTTTTCCCAGTACTGGAGAAACAGCTCTGCCTATTTTTTGCACCCTTCCTAATTTATTAGTCTCTTTGTTCTCTGGTCCTTTCTTCCCTAGTGTTGGTGTAATTTGCAGAAATTATGAATCACTGTCTGCCCTTCTGAATGGATCACTAAAGCATTAGGTTCTAAATGAAGCACTGAGTCCTCTAGGCTGTTATAGTGGTTGTGCTTTTGTTTGGCCTTTTTTGTTGTTGTTGGTCCTTGGAGTAGTATCACATTATCCAAGAGGGCAGTGGGACAGCTGCCTGAGGCTGCTGTTACCTGTGCACCTGCCACATTGGGTTTCTGAGGAGCCGTAGGATGTATGGCCGAGGCCAGCCATCTGAGATGGGAGATCTGATTCTTGGATGTAGCCTCCCTGAAAGCTTTCTCTGCACTGGAATAATGCTGTAAGTTTGCCCAGAGATCATTTCCTTTCCAACCAAACCATTTGTAAAGTAAGCTTGCCTTCTTTTTTGGTCATGCTGGTATTACCCTGGGTTTTTACCAGCTTGATAAATAGAGGATGTTGGGTGCATTCCCATCCTCCCTGATGTCATGGTTTGGGGTACTCTACAACTTTGGGAGGTTTCAGTAAATCCCACCAATTGGTGAGTTTGTTGTTCTTCCCTGAGAAATTTCTTTTTTTCTGTGCCATGTCTTACATAAGTTGACAGGGTTCCTTTTGTGACTTGCCCTTTCCTTTCAATGATGTAAGAACCCCAGACCTTGGCAGTCACTATGTTTTGTTACTGAAGTGCCGGTGCTGATGAGATCCTCTTTCCTGTTTAGTTTCTGCAAGAGATGAAGGCTGCTCGAGGCCGCAGAGGTGACCAGCCAAGGTGGGATCCTCAGGCCAAAGGGCGGGCAGCTTATTAGTTAGGTTTAGGTCTCAGTATCCACCACACGTGGTCACAGCATTGCTTTTAAAGTTATTTTCCATAACTTGCTGCAGTGGATTCCTGCTGCATGACTGAGTGGTTTCTTGGCTCTGAGATCAGAAATCTTTGTACCCTCAGGTGGGCCTTTCTAATTGGTTTAGAGCTGAGAAAAGGGACTATGACATTGGGCTGAGGAAGTGACAGCATTCCCTCTTATTTATCCAACCCCCGGGCTTCATGTAAGAATTCTGTTTGGAGGGCAAATTCAAAACAGAGATTCTGTTCTGCCTTTCTTTGCTAGAATAAATGTACTCATTCATATAAAGCCTACAGAGCTGTGTTCTATAGAGTAAATATTAAACTTCATCTTTTCTTCCATCATGTTGTAAAAGCTCAATGGGCTTTTTGTGTATCAATCCATATCTCGTTATAAATAAGTGCATGCATATGTAGTTTTGATTGATGCTTAACATGCCATGGTATTTATTATTGTCTTAGCCACATTTTCATCACCAAGACACAATACCCAACATCTACAACTTAAAGCAGGAGAAGTTTAGTTTGGCTCACAAGTACAGTCCATGTTCCTCTGGCTCTATGGCAGAAACAGCACAGCAGAGGGGTGTAGTGGAGGAAAAGCTGCTCACGTAACGGTAGCCAGGAAGCAGAGAGGGAAGGAGGAGTTGAGGAGGGAGATGTACCTTTCCAGTTCATGCCTCAGAAACCCACCTCTTCTGCCCAGGCCCTACCTAGCATCACATTCAGCTATAGCTTGCTGATGTTCCAGTAACCTGCCAACAGCCCTGCCTCTTAGTGCAAGGAAGTTTTAGAGATCATTCTTCATCTAAACCATAACAATTACCATGCTAAAAACTTGCTTTAGAAAAAAAAGAGCTAGCCAAATAGCTCAGTGGATTAAAGCACCTGCAAGTAGGCACACGGGCCAGGGGTTCGATCCCTGGGCCTGCTGTGCTGGCCCTGCCCCCAGGGCACGCTGAGAGGCCAATTGAGACTGGGCGTGGTGGCATGTGCCTGTAATCCCAGCTCTTAGGAGGCTATAAACAGGCAGATCACTATGAGTCCATTCTAGTAGTGAGACCCTGAGTACCCTGTAGAACCTTCCCTAAAATTAAAAAAAAAAAAAACTTGCTTTTTTCACTTGACTTATATGTATTGGTAGTATGTATTTGTCAGTACATCTAAATCAACTTTGTTTTTAAGACAACAAGTAGCATTCCCTAATGTAGCTGTACTATCATTTATTCATCCATTAAACTTCACCTCACACAAATCTGCAGTGACACCATTTATAATTGTATTTTTGTGAATATGTATCCATATTTCTGGAGTAATAATCCCTGGGATTAGAATTTCTATATTTGTAAAAATAATATTTTAAAGTCATATTTTTAGAAAAGCTATGCCCACTTAAAATTTCAAAATCTCAAAGTTTACATTTCCCCAGTAGTGCATGCAAATGTTTATTTTCCTGTATGCTCTCCATCTTTAGATATTATTATTAGGTTTTTTAATTTCTTCATTCACTGGAACAAACAAATGTCACTGTTGCTTGCCCTAATTTCCTACCTGAAAGTGTTCCAAAGGAGCCTCCTGTTGTTCGTTAATAAATTGGATTACCAGGAACCATTAAATGTGCTTTATCGTTATCAATAAAATTTTGGAAAAGGGCAATATGCTACAATTGTGACATTTCATCAAAAATATTATCAGGAATGTCTATGTCAAAAATGTTCATCTTCACAGATATTCAGTGAATTTATTGGTATAGTCAAGTCACAATCAATTTGATTTTTTGTTTGACAATTTTAATGTTTCTTGCTTGTTAATTCTACATTCATTCAATGTTGAGCACTAGAACATGTGTTTGCAATTTGTTTTAAGACAAGACAACATGTTTGGCTTTTTTTTTTGTCTTCTTTAATATTGCTTAATGAAGTTTGTCTGGATTACTGGGCTTTAATTTATGAAGAATTACTTCTTTTTCTTCTTTAAAAGAATATGTTGTGATAGAGATTCACTGTGACTCCTTATTGCTTTCATTTGATTTCCTCGTGAACATTAAACAGTCTGTTGACAGTTGTTAGAAGTAGGGCAGTTGCTTCCAAGATGATACACTAGATTGTTTACTCTTACAAATCTTGATTTCAAATTTATTATATCTCTCTGATATAATGACAAGATACCATTATCTGAGGTGACTGTCATCTTCGAGCTAATAGTTGTACCAGTGTTTTGATTCTCAAGTTAAGCATGACAGAATATTCTAAAAGTTGCAAAACAGGTTATGAACAGTGCTCCCTACTTTAGGTGGGGCCCCTAATTCCTTTCCCCATCATGCATCTGATCTGTCCCTTACTCATGCCATTGCCAATGCCCCTGACTCCCTTTTGAACTTTGAGCTAAACTTAATAATCAACAGAGTCACATATTAAGACACAATTATATGAAGAGATAGCTAACCAATCATGATTTTGAGAAGAGTTCACCCCACTCCAGATGTGCTCTGATCTCTTCCATTGTCTAATGCTCCTAGAGCGCCCCTGATGAAACTGTAGATTGAACAAAAATGAACATTACTTAAACATAAACATTAAGTTCAGCCCCCAAACTGGCTTTGGACTGTTCTTCCCGTTTATATTAAATTTCTTAGGAGTGAGTCTTGCATTGCCCATTTCTTATGTAACTGCAGCCAAATTTAAGGCTCAATGTGCAGCAAAAGCCCCAGAGAGTGTTGACTGCTGGGTAAACCATACTATTGAAGCCTTTGGGTGCCAAGAAAGCCTACTTTCCTGTAGTCTAATTAGCTCTGTTCTTTTCTTGTTTTCATTTTCAGGTGTGTTTAGAATTTCTTCACCTTTTTCTCTGAACTTCCTGACAGGTAAGTAAGGTTATTTCTATGTGTTAATATTGTAAAAATGATGAACATGCTCAGTCAGGGGTTTTTCTTCCATGTTGCCCCCCACTCCTTTATTTCAAATCCCCACCCTCATAACAATGTTCTTCATTTCTGTTTCTTTTGTTTTTAACTCTTCATTCCTACTTGGAGCTCTTTCTTCAGAGATTTTCCTTAGAAGACACATGGTTGACCCATTTTTCCTGGTTATCCAATTGTTCATTTGTTTTTGATAGGCTTTCATCAGTGAGCAGATTTGGAAATTACGTGCTGCAATAAGAGTAGAAGAAAGAAGGATTATTTGAATTATAGTTAAATTATATTGTTACATAAAATTCTTTGGGATTTCGTTTCACTGTTTTCTCCTCTTCTTCTCTCTGGACTTAGCTTTCTGGCTTCAGCTCTTGTTTTGAAGTGGATCACTGATATATTGTCTCTCTTATCTAAGTTGTTGTATACATGGAGCTTTCAAAGGTGCCTTCCAACCAGATATCTGCTTTAGACTCTTTCCTAGCAGCCAATATTGACTTTCATGCCTGCCTGATCTTCCTCCCCTCCCTTCCTTCTTTTTGTCCTCCCCTCCCACCCTCTCTCCCTCTTTTCTTTCCTCCCTTCCACTGTCTATGATGCTGACTATGGAAATAGGGCCTTGTGCATGTTAGGGAAGTGCTCTACTACTGAGCTACACCTCCACCCCCATTGCTTCCATTTTATTTTAGCTGCATAAATGAGTGGGTATTTCTGGGATTTCATTGCTATAAATTATCAAAATCTTATAACAAGCACAAATATTTAGTATGATTAATATAAATTAGAATGACTATGTGATAACTTGTAAGATATATAACATGAACAGATTATAATAGGTCCTAGTAAGTTATTGTTATAATTAAGGTTAAAACTCTTGAGCAGAGTCACACAACTAATCAATGGCCAAGCTGGGACTTCAAAGAGAATTTTCCAGGGATGTGGTGACAAAACTAAGATAGGGTCCAGATTACGAGGGGGGCGGAATCAGAGACCTTCCCAACTACCCAACTTCCTCTCTAGTACGAGTTACTGAAGGCTCTAAACCACATGCTTCTTCCTTACCCTTGCCCCCTGGCCCCAGTGTGGATCATCACCCTGAGGATACTTCTAATGGGAATCTCTTTTCATATGTCCTACCTCTATATAATCATAGAATGATTTTAAACCAATCTTCAGCAACAGATTCTGGATCAAGTCAATTAAAAAATACATTTTGAGTGCCTGCTGTAGGGGTAGGTTAAAACTAGATAAGAGAGGAAACTATGTTCTGGTGCCTTGTTTCTCTTTTTAGGTCAAGTTGAGCTTCATTGACCACAAAAGAGTGTGTGATAAGTTTTTTTTTTAATGCTTTAGGCTCTTTATTTTTTAATATTTTTTTCATAATTTTATTGATAAAAAAAGAGTGATGAGACAGTTTCAAATCAAATCGCTAGGATAGTTTCAATAATTAACACACTGCATACATTCTTCTTAGTGGTTAATTGCTGTACAAGATGCGGACATGAGATCCTATTTACAAACACCATTAGAA